GACAGACAGACAGACAGACAGACAGACAGACAGACAGACAGACAGACAGACAGACTTACAGACAGACAGACAGACTTACAGACAGACAGACAGACAGACAGAGAAATTGAGTTACCCCCCCTAAAAAAAAACCCACAAACTAAGTGAAGGCCATTGTGTCGATGTGATTCTCTTTACTCAAAACTCAAATTGAGTCAAATCCCCCTTCTCCCTCCCTCCCCCCCTCTCTCAATCTTTCTCCTTTGAACTCCCCTCCTCCCTCTCCCTCCCCTCTGACCCCTTTCTTAATCCCTCCTCCTTCATTCCTCCCTCCCTCACTCACCTTTATCATGGGTGTCTGCCAACCTCACTCCCTCCCTCTTTTCCCCCCTTCTACATTCCTCCTTCCTCCCTCACTCATCTTTACCACAGGTGCCACCAACCACATTCCCTTCTTCTCTCTCACCTTTACCATGGCCGGCTGCCAACCTCAATCTCCCTCCCTCCCCCCTCTCCATCCCTCCCTCCTCCCTCCCTCCCTCACTCACCTTTACCGTGGGTGTCTGCAAACCTCAATCCCCTCCCCCTTCCTCAGTTCTACATTCCTCCTCCCTCCCTCCCTCACTCACCTTTACCGTGGGTGTCTGCCAAACTATCAGCTGTGGAGGAGGGGGTCATGTTTAAACCCAGCTTGTTCCCTTTGCCCGAGGCCGGGCCCTGCTCCCCCTCCATGTCGGCAAAATCATCAGAGTCCAGGCTGCCTGCGTCTGCCTCGGGGTCCAGCTTACGACGCACGACGTCCCCCGCACCGCCACCGCCGCCAGACTTCTGCTCCTCTCCCAGAACATCCTCAACCTCGTGGGACTGAGGGGAACATTGGGAGTATCATCATTATCATTATTATTATTATCATTATCATCATCTTCATCATTATTATTTTAGTTTTAGTTAGAGTTTTACGTCACTTGGAACACAAAAAGGTCATATAAGTGCCGAAGATTAAAGGTGTTACGAGAGAGTAACAAACACAAAAAAGAAGGAAGAGAGATCAGGACGATAGATGTTTGATGGGAAAGAAGGAGCAAACCACACCAGAGCACCAGCCAACCAACCACCATCCTCATTATTACTATCATTATCATCATCATTATTATTTTCATTATCATCCGAATTTGTAGTATTTGTGGCGTCGGTGGCCTTGTGGTTAGGCTCTCAGACTCGCAACTGTAAGGTTGTGGGTTCAAATCCCGTCAGAGACACGACGGTATGTCCTGGGGAAAGGCCCTTTAAATGAATTTTCCTGACTTCACCCAGGTGGGAATGTGTACCCAGCTATAGACAGTGAAAGATCTCGTCTGTTAGCGCTTGAGCAGTTAATCAGCTGCTTGCATTGTATGCTTCCCGCGAAGCTGAGAATGTTTCTGAGTGTTCTATAGTCTGTTGGGGTACCAATATAGTGTAAAGCCCATAGAGCTTGCTGTCGAGCGGGGATATGCGCTATACAAATGCTATTCATTATCATTATAGTATTATTATTACCTAAGTCATCATTGTGGGTGGTGATGATAGTACTGGGGGTGGGGGTGGTCGTTGGTTGGGGGGGGGTTGTTTACAACAACATGATGATACTACTGAGCCAACAGAGCACCCGGGTGATCCAGACAGGGTGTTAAATCCATACAACAACAACACCAACAAGAATGACAACAACAACAACAAAAACAACAACACAACAACAACAACAATGACAACAAGACGTTCAGCTCACCTCCTCCGTGTCCCGCCTCAGAAGCGGGCGACTTTGCTGTTCCTCCAGAAGAGTACGCATGGGCTTGACCAGCGCCTTGCCGGCCGAGGACAGCGGGCTCAACAGAGACTTGGGCGAGGCTGTGGACGGGCGGCAGAAACATACTGGACGGGTTAGAGGAGAGGAGGAGGAGGAGGAGGAGAGAGGCGATATGACTGGGATGGGGTAGGACAAAAGGGGAGGAGGGGGGAAGGGGGAAAGGCGAAAGGGGAAATTGTGGACAGATGGCAGAAATATACTGGACGGGTTAGTTTTCGTTTATTTATTTTTCTAGTAAGTATTTACGGCGCTCGCAACTGCATAAGGTAATAGGAGCGCCAAGGGGTGGATGTCAACAGAGAAGTCCAAACGGGGATTCAGACTTACTCTGCTCACCTCTCTAGCCTCAACAGCACAAAGTCTGCTTCGACTATCAAGCTATCAAGGCACCCCAGAAACAGCAGTACACAAAAAAGGGGGGTGGGGTGGAGAGGAGGGAGGACGAGGAAGGAGGTATGGGAGAGGAAGGGGAAGGGAGAGGGGAAGTGGAGGGAACGCCCTGTCACTCTGAGAATGGTTTTAGGTAATTTCATGACACTTCAGCATAACCAGGGAGGAAGAGAAAGAGGAGGAAGAGAAAGAGGAGGAAGAGACTGAGAAGTGGAGTAGGCGAACATAGGAATGGAGAAGGTGGTGGAGGAGGAGGAGGAGAAGGAAGAAAAATTAGAATAAAGAGGAGAAAAAAAAAATGAGGAGATAGAGGTGGAAGACCTTCACATTCTCAAGCAAGTGTCACTTCCACCTGCCACACAATGTAGATTCCTATTTCCCCAGAGATTAGAACAAGGTATCAGACATCAGACAGGGCACGCTTATGGACAAAGAAAGAGAGCTCTAGGACGGACAAAGCTGAATCCCCAACATTGTAGTGATAGAGAAACAGCCAACCATACTGTACTAACAACACACTGTGGAGAGAATGTAATGAGCTGACAAAATGACTTACTTTTCGGATTTTATCCTTATGGAAACTAACAGATCAACTTTTTAGTTGGAGTTTGTACAATTCTTAAATATGGAATATGATTAAAAGACACAGTAGACTAGAACAAATTGGCATCAATAAGAAATCTATCAATTTGACTTGTGTCAATTTTTGGCCATTATCTCCGTTCTTCCATTGCGAGAAGTAACTAATTTTGTCAGCATGCCTCAAGTATATTAACACACACGTACACACCTACACAAACATTGTTTGCACACACAAACAAAATTTAATGTCGTAGATAGATGTATATAATGAATTGTTGCTCACTTTTCCCATCGCTGAAGACACGTTGTCTCTTACAAGTGTACAAATAAAGAATACAACTCCTTGAGACCTTCGTCAATACCAGCCCCCCACCAATGCTCATTCTGACTTTTCAAGAAATCATTAAAGAAATTCTTTAAGACAGTCAGTCAGACTGAGGTGAAAAGTTTAGAAAACACTTCCTTTTACTGCATGCAGAATTTACTTACCTACAGTCGACAAATCTCAAGGTATTAATTAAACTCGGAACAAGATTCCAACAAGAACCCGACTCGCAAGTGGGCCGGGTGTATGGCCCGTGTTTTACGCCCACAAAAACACAAGTAAGTTATTTCAGAAGAGGAACCCTTGAATTTGACCTTCATCTCTGCTAGGCTAGTGGGTGAAACATTTTGATAATTCCCCAAACACCTGAGTCCAAGAATGCTTGGATGGGAATTTGAACCAGGGCCATCCCAACCACAGCCCAGTATAACACGCCAACTTGGCTATCGGTATACACTTTTAAAACAAAGCAACAACCACCCCACCACCACCACCACCAACTCCACCCCC